TCTCCTGCCTCCGCCTCCCAAGTAGCTGGGACTACAGGCGCCCGCCACAACGCCCGGCTATTTTTTGGTTGCAGGCCCAGGCTGGATTCGAACCTGCCAGCTCAGGTGTATGTGGCTGGTGCATTAGCCGCTTGAGCCACAGGCACCAAGCTGCTATTTTTAGTTTTAAAAAAGATTTATCTACCTCAAGGTCTCAAAGATTTTTTTTCTTCTTTCCTTGTAAAAGTTTTAGCTCTTAGGATTATGTCTATGATCCTTTTCAATTTCACTTTTTATTGTATGAAACATATACCATGTGAGTACAGTAGGAGACCAGAGTTGAGACTTTTTTTTTTCTCCTTATTGCTATCTAGTTATTCCTGCATCATTTTTATTTATTTATTTATCTATCTTGGGAGATAGAGTCTCACTTAGTCGCCCTGGGGTTGAGTGCCATGGCGTCATAGCTCACAGCAACCTCAAACTCTTGGTCTCAAGCGATTCTTTTGCGTCAGCCTCCCAAGTAGCTGGGACTACAGGAGCCCACCACAACACCTGGCTATTTTTAGAGATGGGGTCTAGCTCTGGCTTAGCCTGGTCTCAAACCCGTAAGCTCGGGCAATTCACCACCTCAGCCTCCCAAGTGCTGGCATTACAGGCGTGAGCCACCGTGTCCGGCCCCAAAGGATACAATTGGATGAGTTTTAATGCTTGTTTACACCTATGAAACCATCCTCACAATAAAGATAATGAGTGTATTCAGACCCTCAAAATCTTCCTCAGGCCCCTTTAAGTCTGAGCTTTTCCATCTTCAAAGAACAGCTCAGTTGTTGAGAATGTACCATGTGAGTTTAGCTGGGGCCCTGGCACACAGAAGGCATTGGGGAAACAGAGTTCATATTAACTGCAAACATACAGCAGGATAGTTGAGTGTATAGGCCCTGGAGCCAGTCTACCCGGATTCAAACCCATCTCTGCTATTTGTTTCCTTGGGCAAATTATTCAATGCCTCTGTAGGTCAACTTCTCCATCTGTAAAATGGAAATTATGTGGTACCTCCTTCAAAAGTTGTGATGATTAATATGAGTGAAAATGTTTCCTGTTACAAGTAATTGAATGATTTTAATGACACATTTTGAAAATACTCATTGCCACCTTCTCTGACATGGAACTTCAGCTTGGGAACCTCTGAACTAAGTGTGATTTCTTTTTTTTTTTTTTTTTTGAGACAGAGCCTCAAGTTGTCCCCCTGGGTAGAGTGCCATGGCATCACAGCTCACAGCAACCTCCAACTTCTGGGCTCAAGCGAGTCTCCTGCCTCCGCCTCCCAAGTAGCTGGAACCACAGGAGCCCACCACAATGCCCGGCTATTTTTTGGTTGCAGCCGTCATTGTTATTTGGCGGGCCTGGGCTTGATTCGAACCTGCCACCTGAGGTGTATGTGGCTGGCGCCTTAGCCACTTGAGCCACAGGCGCTGAGTCCTAAGTGTGATTTCTTAGTGGGATTTTTGTAAAGTTGGTGCTCTAGGATCTATGATTTAAGAGGTGATGGTAGTTCTAGGAGTTACCACCAGAGGGAATAGGATTTTACTCTTGCGGCTTGTGAGGACAATTCATTAATATTTCTGATGTACCCACTGGGAACTAACAGTATCAGTATTTGAGCAAGCAGCTCCTTCTATCCAGGGCTTATGAGCATGACCCACTGTTAGTGTTTTGACCATCCTGAGTTTCTGAGGTTGATCACTATAACACAGGTATTAACTAAAGAACTTAGAGCCTGGGAGGTGCCTATGGCTCAGTGAGTAGGGCGCCGACCCCAAATACTGAGGGTAGCGAGTTCAAACCCAGCCCTGGCCAAACTGCAACAAAAAATAGATGGGCCCTGTGACGGGCACCTGTAGTCCCAGCTACTCAGGAGGCTGAGGCAAGATAATCGCCTAAGCCCAAGAGCTAGAGGTTGCTGTGAGCTATGATGCCATAGTACTTTACCCGAGGGTGAAAAAATGAGACTCTGTCTCTAAAAAAAAAAAAAAGAATTTAGAGCCTTTTGGAGCATAACCTGTGTATGAATAGCAATGGTACTGCCTGGGCACAGTGGCTTCCGCTTGTAATCCTAGCACTCTGGGAGGCTTAGGCAGGAGGATGTCTTGAGCTCAGGAGTTTGAGATCAGCCTGAGCAAGAGTGAGACTCTGTCTCTACTAAAAACAGAAAAATTATTTGGGCATCATGGTGGGCACCTATTGTCCCAGCTACTTGGGAAGCTGAGGCAGGAAGATTGCTTGAGCCCAGAAGTTTCAAGTTACTATGAGCTAGGCTGATGCCTCACCACTCTTAACCTGGGGCAACCGAGTAAGACTCTGTTATACCAAAAAAGAACAAAACAAAACAAACAAACAAACAAATCCCCCAAATAATCATTACAACATGTTTACAAAATATTCGCTATGTTTTGGCCATCTCTTTCTAAATTTTATAATGAATATTCTGTACGTAAAGGTTTTTTTTTTTTGAGACAGAGTCTCACTTTGTCACCCTCCATAGAGTGCCATGGCATCATAGCTCAGACTCGTGGCTCAACTGATTCTCTTGCTTCAGCCTCCCGAGTAGCTGGGATTACAGGCACCCACCACAAAATCTGACTATTTTTAGTGGAGGCAAGGTCTCGCTCTGGCTCAGGCGGGTCTTGAACTCCTGAGCTCAGTCAATCTACCTACCTCGGCTTCCCAGACTGCTAGGATTACAGGAGGGAGCCGCTGCACCCGGCCCCCATAGTGGTACATTTGGTTACAATTTCTCATTTTCCTTATGTATGACAACCTTAAGGATAACTTTTAGGACACCCTGTAGTAAATATGAAGTTAGGAGAGGTATCAAGAGATACTGAAAAGGAAAGCAAACGGGCCTCTCTGGTGAGTGGTACACACAGGGCAACTTGACTGCTCTTCACGTCCAATTGGCATCGAGAGATTTCAGGAAGCATAATTTTTTGGTACCTGGGTAACTGGTGATCATTGGTCTCGGTGTCCTTAATGAAATGAAAAAAAGAGAGAGAGAGAGAGAGAAAGAAAAAAAGGAAAAGGACATATCTTTGGAGTAAAAAAGATTAGGTTCAAACATCTGACTTTCACAACAGTTTTATGACCTGGGGTAAATTAACTAACCTGTCTGAGACTTAGTTCAGGTGTAAAACAATTAAATATACGTACTTTATTCCTAGAGAGTTTGCGAAGGGTAAATAAACTAACTTTTTTTTTATTGAGACAGAATCTCATAGAGTGCCGTGGCCTCGTAGCTCACAGCAACCTCAAACTCTTGGGCTCAATTGATTCTCTTGACTCAGCCTTCCTAGTAGCTGGGATTATAGGCACCCACCACAAGACGTGGCTATTTTTGCTTTGGTTTGGTTTGTTTGTTTAGCAGGCCCAGTCCAGGTTTGAACCCACCAGCCCCAGAGCATGTGGCTAGTGTCCTAACCACTGAGCCACAGGCATCCCCATAAACTAGCTTTTGTAAAAGCCCCTGATAGGTTCTGATTTATAGTAGGAACTAAACATATGCTTATTTGCTTAGTTCTGGAGAACCTCAGAAGCAGACCATGAAACAAGGATTCCCAGGTAAGAGATTTATGAAGGAGAGGTCGGTAAGGACACAGGGGAAGCAGGACTGGGAAGGGGAAAAAGCCAAGCACAGATGAGATTTCAGGCAAAGTCCCAGAGAGAGTAGTTTAATCCTTCAAGTAACTTAATCCCTAAGGGAGCTCAGGGGTATAAATTCTACCCAGAGGCAAGTATGCTGGGCTTTCAAACTCCCCGCATCTAATCAGCCATTTGCTGGAGACTGAGGAAGAGGGAAAGGATCAAAGCGATTGCCAGTAACTTGAGGACCTTCCTCCTCTGAAGAGTCTCAGAAGCAAATCACAGCCAAGAAAAGGGCAGGAGGTACTAGTAAGAGATCTGAGAGGATCTGGGCAGAGCAATAGTATCTGCTACAGAGTTTTGGGGTTTCGTTTTGTTTTTCTCCTCTGAGAGAAGCTGGGCTCAAATTCTTGCTGTGTCACTTACCAGCTATCTACTTAGAGTTTCCCTTTCTTCATTTACAAAATGGTAACAGTAATACCTGCCCTGACTTCCTCACATCATCAAAAAGGATGAAAACCCTCTGGAAGTTAAAATGCTAGATAGAGTCTTTTGTTTAGTCAACAAACATTTACTGAACAGCTACTATAAATCAGGCACAGTACTAGGTGCCAGGATACTCAGCTTAAAACGAGATTCATGAACTGTTAAGGAACTTTTAGTCGAGTGAGGGAATCAGATAAAGAAACAGAAGATTGCAAGACTGTGTGATAAGTGATGTTATTAAAGTGTGGTGGGGGAGAGGAGTCAGTTCTACCAGAGAATCAGGGAAGATTTCAAGAGGGGCTGACATCTAAGCTGCCCAAAAGATGGGCCAGAAGGGCATTCCTGGCAGAGGGAATAGCCCAAGCAAAATGAAAGAAATATACAATACCCTGATATATCTGGGGACTTAAATTTGACACAGGGGCCTTGTATGCTAGGACTAGAACCTTTAACTTAATCTCATAAAGCAATAGAGCTATTGAAGGATTCTGATGGGGGAATGGCTCAACTAACCTTGCAGTGGTATGAGCAATGTCCTGGAGGAAGGGAGACCAGATCATAAGCAATTAGAGTGGTAGGTAATCAAGAACTCAAGGGAAGCACCCATTGTGACCTGGCTCACTGAGTGGAGGACGTACAATTTTTTTTTTTAGATAGAGTCTCAAGCTGTCACCCTTGGTAGAGTACTACAGGGTCACAGCTCACAGCAATCTCAGACTCTTGGGCTTAAGTGATTCTCTTGCCTCAGCCTCCCAAGTAGGTGGGACTACAGGCGCCTGCCACAACACCCAGCTATTTTTTGGTTGTAGTTGTCATCATCGTTTGGCAGGCCCAGGCTGGATTTGAATCCGCCAGCTCCAGTGTATGTGGCTGGCACTCTAGCTGCTTAAGCTACAGGAGCCAAGCCAGGACATGCCTTTTACCAAGATTATAAATCTTATTATTTTGCCAAGAGTGAAAGAAATTCAGGTTTTTATATTTTCCCTCTTGATCCTAGGAAAAAACCCAGGGATATGGATAAGATAGGGAAAAACCCATAGACAAAATAAATTAATAATAAATCACATGGGCCAGGCGCAGTGGCTCACACCTGTAATCCTAGCACTCTGGGAGGCTGAAGCAGACAAATTGCTTGAGCTCAGAAGTTGTTTTTTTCTAATTTTTATTTATTTTTTTGAGACAGAGCCTAAAGCTATCCCCCTGGGTAGAGTGCTGTGGCATCACAGCTCACAGCAACCTCCAACTCCTGGGCTCAAGCGAGTCTCCTGCCTCAGCCTCCCAGGTAGCTGGGACCACAGGCACCCGCTATTTTTTGGTTGCAGCTGTCATTATTGTTTTGGTGGGCCCAGGCTGGATTCAAACCCACCACCTTAGGTGTATGTGGCTGGTGCCTTAGCCACTTGAGCCACAGGCGCTGAGCCGAGCTCAGAAGTTCTAAACCAGCCTGAGCAAGAGTGAGACCCCAACTCTCCTAAAAATGAAAAACTGAGGCAAAAGGATCGTGTCAGCCCAAAAGTTCAAGGTTGCCGTGGGCTAGAATGCCATGGCACTCTACCCAGGGCAAGAGAGTGAAACTGTCTCAAGAAAAAAATAAAAAATCATAGGGAATATTATATTCTTCAAAGTATTTTAACATTTATTACTGAGTTGATCCTGAAACAACCCTGGGAGGGGAGGGAAACAATTGACAGACGAAAGAACTAAGTCTTCGAGAGCTGAAGTGACTTGTCAGTGGTCACACAGGATTTGTTTGTTTGGTATTTTTTAGTAAAATATGGACTTAGAATCCATATTTTTTTTTTGAGACAGAATCTCACTATGTTGCCCTTGGTAGAGTGCCATGGCATCACAGCTCACAAAAACCTCAAACTTCTGGGCTCAAGCAATCATCTTGTCTCAGCCTCCTCATCTGGGACTTTAGGCACCTGCCACAACACCTGGCTAGTTTTTCTATTTTTAGTAGAAATGGGGTCTCCTGCTTGCTCAGACTGGTCTCGAACGCCTGAGCTCAAGTGATCCACCTGCCTCAGCCTCCCAGAGTGCTAGGATTACAGGCATGAACCACCAAGCATGGCCATTCTAAGAATCTTGATATAAGAGCGCTGTTTTCAAAAAGCATATGCCTACGTTTCTTGGACCCTTCCGTGAGCATTCTTGCTGTTAACCATTTTAGCTCTACCTTACTTTAATAAAAACAGTGAGATACGAAGAAAAAATAGAAGAGGAAGATTGTAACTATACAGATATGGTTCATCAACTGATGGACATCTTTTGGAAGCAGAGCTTTCCAACATTTTGCCGCCTCTGTCCTGTTCTCTGCTGTTGTTTTCCTTTTGAACAGCAGATGGCAGGATAATCCCACAACAGGTGGTCATGGTTTAATTTAATTTCAATGAGAAGAAAATTGCTTCTTTTCCCACATGTATTTCTTTCCTGAGATAAACAGCATGCGGGGCATCTGCCTCTTTATTGAAAGTAAGATATATAAGAAGGCAGCTTTTCAGCCAGGAATATCAAGGTAGCCAACATAAATTCTGAGCCTTAGGTTATTACACTGTGCAAAAACAAGTTTCTCGGAAAGCAGCAAACGGAGGTTGAAAGCCAATTGTTAAAATTCCACATATTCTAGATTTCCCCAGTTAATAATCATTAAAAGTTTATAGCGAGAAAGTCACAGAGGCCCTTCTGTTGTGATTGTTAGGGTTTAGAGTCACTGGGAACACCCTTCTCACCCAGGGGATTTTAAAAGCCAATCCCACCCCCTCCCCACAACCCTCTCCCCTAACACTCATTTCCCATCCCTTCACAAAATTGCCAGGGTAATTGACTCTTAGATGAGATGAGTTTGACTTTCTACCCTGATTTTGTAACAGAAGTTCTTTTGGTGAGCTTCTTTGTTTGAAAATGCACAATAAAAATGGCTTTAGAATGACTTCAGAAGACTCTTTCTTTTTCTGGTGCCAATAACAGATTCCAAAGCAGCTATTATTTGAGGTGGGTGATAGGATCCCTTGAGACTGTTTAAGTATCGGTTTTCAAAGTGCTTAGGAACCTGAAATGTCCTGTATGGTATATTTGCAGGTGCATAATTGGCCAAGTGCTCCAGGGGTTATAAAGATTGCCTTCCTGTAGTTGGAACAGACAGATTTAGCCTCTTACTGAAATTGAAGGCTGCAATGTCGATAACAAATCTGATTCTAACTCTCCTGTGTCACTTCAGCCCAAAGGTGCCTTTGTCTCCCAGGAGAAAGAGGTTGGAGGTAAGTGAATGGCCCTTAACCAGAGCCATGTAGAAAACATTGCTAAGGAAGACTTTTGTCCTGAGAGTGGAGGTTTAGGGCTGTTGCATGTGAAGCAAATTTGCTTTGTTCACAGCCAACCTGCCTGAATGCAAGTATTGCTGAGGTGACTGGAGCTGAGGAGCAGCAAACTGTTTTAAAAGCAGCTTTCAGGGGGAAATTTTACACATACAATGGCTTTATTTTTGTCAGACATGGTTCTCCAGCCTTGCTTTTTTATTGCAGTAACCAAAACAAAACTGGGTAAACTGAAAAGGCTGCCTTGATGTCGGTAGGAAAATGGATCTTGTCTCTCCCCAAACGTGTTTGAATGGTAGTACATAATCCTAGCTACATCCAGATAAGAACACACCTCCGCCTGTAGAAAGCTTTCCTGGAATGAAATATCAGGGAGAGTATTCACTTTGCGGCTTGATGGTTCCAGCCTGTCTTACTGAAACTTCTAAAGAAATAGTTTGCCTGCTGTCTTGCTCTTCCATTTGTAGTTAACACGTCCGTGTACTTAGTGGTGTTCTGTATTCCTTTTATTTCTCCAGGCCCCTGGCATTTGATGATACCTGTGCAATAGGAGCTTTCATTATACCAAATATAGGGTGGTGTTTAGTGGA